TGAATCAGCTGCTATAACACTATAAGTTCCCTTCGGGGATCAATAAAGTATTTCTATCTATCTATTAAATTAAATAAAAAGTAAAGGTAAAGTTATAAACAAAAAGTACATATCAAAAGTAAGAATGGGCCTTTTATCCTTATATATAGACATCTATAGGCCAATTTTAAATAATTATTTATTATATATATATTATTATATCATTTAATTTAAATATAAGATGGTGGTAATATTTGTAGTAATGTATCATAATTTAAAGATAATGATTTGTTTTGTATGTACATTTATTTGCAAAGTAACTATAGCTGTCAAATAAATATAAAGGTATAAAATGAACTTTTAAATGTAAAAATTAAACATAAAATGGAAGTATTTTTTCAGAATTGTACTTTTCTTATAGAGCCAAAGTAATTACAGATTTTTAGTGTATCAATATATCAATCTGATCGATTTAGAAAAAAAAAAAAGCTATTATAAAGTTATTGATGCAGAACAGCTGTCCGGTACGAGCTCCGGCTGCTGCTCTTTGGGTTGGATTTCATTTAATTGTATGTTGCACACTGCTAACCCAGAAGAAAACGGACTCACTTAAGAAATCAACAAACATATTCTGTATTTTGATGAACCAAATCACTCATTTAATATATAAAAATATGTGCATTTATCAATCAACCACCAATAATGACAATTTCATTATAAGAAACAAAGAACTAGCTGGAAAAAAAAGAAAACTTAAAAACAAGAAAAATTAAAGACATAAAACTGGGAAGATCTTTACTTTCTATTTCAGAAATAAAAAATGTAAAACCCAGCACAGCAAAACCTGTACAGTAGGATGCTACATTTTATATACCAAAACAACACTACACTTTTGTTCTCCACCATGTGCTTACACTTTATATGTTAAATAACATAACTCAGGGCCAATAAAAATGACTAATGGTGAAGACTGAGGAACATCTACACAACAGCACATTTGGTTTGCAATGACATGTGGTGTGATGATGATTTTACCATCCTTAGATCAATAATACACTCGTATGATTGATGATGCAGTGTCAGGCAAGTGTTTGATTAACTTTATGTAGTAAAAGTAAGGCTGACTGGTGACAACCACCAGAGATGAAACACCATTCAACATGAATGATATCGGATTTATAATACGGATGGTACAAATTGCCATAAAAAAAAGAATCTATGTGTTCATGAATGGAAATAGTTTTTGTTTATCATATCTGCATGATATTCCTTATTACGTCATCAAGAGTGAAGCACTTTTGAGTGATACAAATTATATAACAGCAAGTCTGATATAAATCCATATTCAATGGAAGCTGTTCTTTGCCCTCGTAACAACACATTGCATTTGGGGCATTTTGTGTAAAAAAGCCAGGCGATAAGCTAAAGTTACTTTTTATGTCTTTCAACTACTTCCATCCACAAAGAATTAAACAAACAAAAAAAACACAATCAAATGACAAGTTTGCCTATATAGTCTCTGATTCGAGTGCCTGTAAAAGCTCCCATGTTGGCTCCACAAGTCTACCGCTGAAATTGAGGTATCCTCTTAAACAGATCTTTAATAAATAATATCATATCATACTCTTTAATGTTAATAAATGTGTAACATTTCCTCTTTGTCATCCAAAGTGCAGTTACATATATTCAAATGGATCAAATATATTATGCCTGCTTTATAACGTATAAAAAAAATGGTCACTTAAAACCCGTGTGTGTAATAAAACGTTATGTTTCAGCTCCTTTTGCACAACAACAAAAACAAAAAGTTCACTCGCTGGCTAGATGAAGGAGTAACTGACATTAACATCCAGCCGAGCAACTCGTATTTCCTCAACTACCTCAATAATTATCGAGCATTCAGGTTGTGGTAATTCCTGTGCAGCGTTTTGCTCTTTTACATACAACAAAGGTTGCGTGTGATAATTACTAATAAATAAAGAAGTGACTGAATGCAGTAAAATGCAGAAAAGATATTAATGCAAAATGGTTTTGTTTGGCACATTTTGGCAGGGGCTATGTGGTTTTGCCGCACCATGTGTTACGATGAGCTGACAAAATACAATTTTAGGCATCCTAAATGCCATTTTTAGTCATTTGTCTTCATGGTTGAAATATTCTTTGTAACTATAACAGGGCTGCAACCAACTGTTATTTTCACTACAAATTAAGCTGCTAATTATTTGTTAATTCATCAGTTTGTTTGGACTATAAAATGTAAGAGAATAGGGAAAAATGGCCATCACGAGTTGCTAGAGCACAAGGTAAAAACCGAGAGATTCGTTTGCTATCATATGTGACAAAGAAAAGCGCTTTTATAAAAATGATATCTGTTTTTCTACTTTTTCCGTTACTGTCAGGACTGTGTTCCTTATGAAAAAAGTACAAAACAGAGCAAAGACTGCTTCAACGCATTACACACAAAGTATGTCCAACATCTGTTAACTTAGTAAAAGTCAATGTATACAAAAGTGATACCCTTAAATACAAACAGTTCCTGGTAATATAGTGCAATAACCCCGGTGTTATCAAAAACTACACTGGATAGTTATGAGTTAATGAATGTCTCTCTGCATTTCTCCTCCTCCTCCTCCTCCTCCTCCTCTGGTTTTACATGCCTCACAGCCATCACAGACTGGCTCTGCGCCTAACTTTATGCTTATGTAATCAAGTCCGCCCTCTGCCTTCACTTTGTCTGGCATGCTGTGGCACCTCCATGTGGTAGCAAGGTCAGCTAAGGCCCACTAAAAGGTGAGTCACTTGTAGTACGGGTGTCGCTTGAGGACACTGAGCTGTCTTGTGCAGCTGGGCTGCCACAAGGGGAGGGCACAGAAATCTCAGGCTGCTTCCGATTCTCACTTTCTCTCCTGATACAGAAATATGACGGCCTGCTTAAAGTGCCAGGGCTATCTGTCAACTCGTGTCCAGCGGTACAGCTGCCCCAGGCTGGTTCAACCGATTCTTCCGCTGGAGTTTTCTGTTTTTTCGGTGATCCAGGTAGACACGCTGAAACGGTGTCAAGTGGAGTTGCAGTCTGGCAGCTCCCATGTTTTCCATGTTGATGTTGCTTATCCTTGGTTGGGACGGTGCCAAAGTGGTCAGGGTCTGACCAGCTCAGTTTTCTCTTCTGGAATGGGAAAATAAAATTAAAAATAACAACCATGACAAACCAAGGTCTTAAAGGAGAACCACAGTTAATATATTTAACCTTCCTATGAACATGCTTTATATAGTTCATCCAAATCTTTACAGTAACATTGTTTTTCATTTCATCTTTTTATCATGTATATTATTTAGCCTGACTGTATTAATATCTTTTATGTTTGGTTTTTAAACAAATATGATGTTTTAATATAAATTTTCAAAAACACTGTACTGCTATTTCAACATCTCTGGATCATAAGACCTGCGATCTGATTAATGCACACGTGTAAAGGCACTGTCATATGGTAGGTAGCATCCAGTGTGACACTCACCTTAACGGGCATATGGAGCTGATTTTTTCGCCAGTGTGGTACGAATCTTGGAGCGGTGGTCTGGCTTGGTGGATCTGGGGACTGAAATGCCACCCGAGGAAACCAAATCTTCAGCATCATCTCTATCTGCAGCAGGTTGTGTAGGTATTTCTCACTGCAGAAAAAAGGAACAAGCATTAATGACAATGCTATGTATGGAGGACAATGACAATATCCCCTTTTCACAGCTGTAATATTATAAGCGTTGCTATATGTGATGGTCTTACCCCATTTCAGGCCTCTGTAGTATTCCAAGAATCCTCTGCAGTCTGTCTATGGCAACACTTTGCTGGAAACTGGATAAACCTGCCACAATTAAATATACCATTGTTAAGGCAAATAGGCACTTGGGGGTTTAATTACAGGATGGAATACAGAACAGAAACTTGAGAAGAGATGAGTCATTTTTGTAAATATTGCTCAACCACATACCTTTGTGAAATCGGCCAGTCTTCAGTCCATGTAGAAGATCAAGCAAAGGACAGATAAACCTGCGCAAATCTGCACACTGAGGAAATTAAGCAGAAAGAATTGTTTTACTACTACGGCCGATTTGGTATTTGGCAACAAAAAGTTGTTTACAAAATGAAACAAAAACCTAGGAATCGGTTTAAGGGTGCTCACTTTCTGAGCAAAGGCCAAGTCCCCCGGTGTTGACGAAGATGAGCCTAATGTGGCAGCTCCAGCAGAAGAGGCAGAACCGAGATGCTTCGTTTCATCGGAGCAGCATTCGGGCTGGTCTCTGTTAGTCCTCAAGTGCGGCTGATCTGAACGAGCTGGGAAATCAAGGTAATTCCCAGAAAGTGTGATTCCCTCGCTAACTGAGGGCGACTTTGTTATTCCACCGTCCCCCTCTCCCTCGGAGAAGACGTCGGCTTCATCCTCAGTCTGCTCACTCTCACTGAGGAGGAAGCTTGAGTTGGAGGGTAGTGAGTCATAAGATGGCCATTTGGAAGCACTGCCCAGTGAATTCATCTGTGGAAACAGGGAGATAATGTTTACACTGAGGCTCAGTAAGTAAACTGTTGGCACAGGGCAAAATCATGCAGGTAGGGTTGCAGTATCCAAATCAAAAAGGGGTTGCACTTACAGTACATTATCAGCATACTACACGGTGGTATATAGTACTAATAGTAGTACATTGCATATAAATTTCAATGAAGTAAAATATTTATAATGTGATACTGGTTAAATCAAAGGTTTCTGCTTTTTAGAATATATTGACACATATAAACTAGTTATGATTAGTCATATTAATATGAAACAAGTAGTGGCATTATTTTTGTAAGCTCATAAATGATGTAAAACACAAGCTATGTCACAACAAAAAATACCTACTGACGTTGCATAACAATGTCAACCAACCCATATCACACAGTCAAAAAAGAAAAAAGTGTATAGAAGTTACTCATATAATAATCCTAATATTCACCAGACTGACCCAAGCCCAATGCAGTCCCTATGGCCATCATCGTACAAAGTGTACTCGCTGTCAGGTTATTTGAGTGAAGTCAACCCTCAGCACGGTGTAATATAACCCGAGAGGTAAACGATCAGCGTTGATGCATTATCACATAGGGAGTAGGCACACAAAGGACCTGCTCCATTATGCAAATCAACACATGCAGTATAAAGTACGTAGGTGTGTGCAAAGGCCTCTGTGCACAAGTGTGTACAACCACTGTTTGTTATTCACGTCGGCTCAATAATAATAATAATAATAAACCTCGCTATTGTGATTTGACATTAAAATAATTCTTGTTTTCAACAGTTTCAGGTTTCCGCCACGGCTGATGATTTATACACGTGTTAAGTGACGATCGATAACTTAGTGGCGTAAAAACAACATGTGTGATCCTCGGTTGATGATACCCGCTGTGGACTAGTCAGAAAATGTATATTAACGTTACAAGTTAAGACAAAAAAAAGGGGGGGGGTTACATATTCTATTTAACGTAAAGTGAATCTGAAAACTTCCCCATAAAACAAACAAACAACAACAACAGAATAAAAGTCTTACCTTGTAGATGGAGCAGAATGTAATCCACGAAGAAAACGTTAAAAACACGCTCGAGAAAAGGAACGTTACTTGAAAACCGTTGAAAACAACAACAAGTCTCGCAGGAGAAAACTCAAACACAGCTAACGGCTATCTTAGAACGCGTGTACACGCAGCGGTGACGCCTGTTGTCCAGTTCTCGTTCGGTTCCACCCTGCCTCTTCTATTCCCTGCTCGTGTTCCGTTTACGAACGTTCCAACCTGTTCAAAAAGTACTCACAGAGCGCAACGGACGCTACACGTGCTGGATAGGTACGGCAGCGCGATTGGCTGAGAGGGGGTTCGCTCGTCTCCCATTGGCCCGGGGGCTCGGCCAATCGGGAGCGTTCGCCGCGCCGATTGGCCGGTATATGCGTAGATCCCACCTCACCTGCGACGGCAGCACGTGCGGGTGGTGTGGCTGAAGAACGAGATGAACAGCACGCGGCATTTGGCATGTGCTGAAAATGTTGGTAAATGAGGTTACATTTGGCCTCCTCTAAAGACACAATACTGATGGAGGGGGCGATAACAGTGAAGTTACGTGTCACAATGCTGGTATTTTTCAGTGTGGTTATGTGTTTGTTTGTGTTTATCTTTATTAAAATTTTTAGCAAATTTGTCTTGTAAGTATAATAGGAATAACAAAGACTGGACAGTGCATAGCATAAAGCATAAAGGATTAATAAGGACCAGGTTGGTTTGTCACAAAAGTCCAAAACAGTTAACATTTATCTGCACCATTTAAAAATACTTTGTTACCCTGCTAGCTGGCCATGTATGGCAAGTCCTGTTTAACATATGGCCATCCTTCATCTCCATATTCTCCCAAATGATCATAAAAGCCATGTTGTTTTCATAAAGTGCAAAGCATGGATGCAACAGGGAGCCCAGCAGACGATGCAAACTGTATATTTATTAATGCACGACTGCACTTTTAAGAAATAATTCTGCACTTTCAGCAAATCCAGCCCAGATGGGACTTTATGTGTGTGCTGTAGAAGCTCTAGTCTTTTCATTGTTCATGATGAAGTTAATGTAGATAAGACAGACAAGCTTATGAGATATGGCATCATAGTCCTATTAGAGCCTGAGGCAGAAAGCTTGGGACACATGCAGTCATTACATAGTGACATAATACTGCACATGATTGCAGCATGAGCAAGTGAATCACTTCTTTTGTCTTGAGGTATGGCAGGATGAACAGAAAAGGGCGTCTCAATAAATGCATGACATGTCTGACTCTCAGCCAGGGGGTCGGATATTTTTGGTAGACTGGTACAAAACCTAATTATAGTTCAAACAATTGTGATTGCCGTTATCACAAAATAATTTAATTACATTTGAGTTTCCGAGCTATCTGTACGGGGTCCCCAGGCAAATCAACACATGGTAATGATCTTTTTATGCAAGATTGTTTGCGTCTTTCTTGTCAGCAGTGTTGGGCTAGTTACTCAAAAAAATACTCGTTACTCTTTGAAAAAATAATGTAATTACTTTACCTATTACTCCCTGCCAACAGTAATTAGTTATACTACACTAAAAGACTGGTAATTGATTCCTTTCTCCACAAAATTCAGACTTAACGACGATTAAAATCCAGTTTAGTTTGTTAAAATCAAAGTAATGTGAATACTTCCAGCTGCTGAACGTTTCCATGAATCCAAGGATGTGATTGGATTGTTGGATTTCAAATCAGTAGGGGGTTGTAATATTGTAATTAATTAGTTTTGGAGGAGTAACTGCAATATAATTGCTGAAATTCATTAGTAATTAGTCGCACTACTAGTTACTGGGAAAAGTAATCTTATTACAAGTAATGAGTTACTGCCCAACAGTTCCTGTCAGGGGCTCTTTGGCATCTTATGAAAGGCTTGATGCACGTTCTTGAAGTTTGCACAGTGTAATTCAGCTCCAGATTTTTTGATTGCAACATGGATACCGTCACTGAGCAAACAGCATCGTCAATACTATCAGCTGATAGAGAAACCATGCAAACAGTGGTGGCCATTATTAACAGCTCTGTATTCAGAACTGTGAACACGTAAACAGCTGAAGGCTGCTTCTACCATGTGATTTCAGAGATGCAGACTTTCAGTGTCATCTGTTAGATAGTGGGAAGATGATAAGTTTGCTCGATGATACTGTTGCAGATCATATCCATAACAAGATTCTGAGCTCATTTTTAAGCCCTCGGGAGCGTATAGCACACATCTTTCTGCAGTGGTGGAATTAAAACGTTTGAGGACAAAGGAAAAACCAAAGGCAAATCTGAAAGTACTGAAATAGTTAGTAATTAAGGCACATTTTTTGAGTACCATAGTTATTAGATGTTGGATTAGAACTAATGATATTAAAATTAAGCATGAACAGCAGCTGTTATACTGTTGAGTGTTGTATATGTATAGGAGTTTCTTACAGGACAGAAATCTGCTCCCCGTGTTTTCTAACCAGGTGTTAGACAATTAAAGAATAACAAGAGTGGGTTGCCCATAATACAGCTGATATTTGTCAGTGATAAGAAAGTGTAAGTGTGTGTGTTGGAGTGTGCATGTTGAGGCCAACAAAAACATATTTGCACATTTCACAATCATATTACGGGACATTGATACTGACTTCACAACCTGCATTACATGTTACATACTTCTGCCCTTTTTGTTATAAAAACCTACAGACGAATTACAAATGACACAATATTAAAAAACAGCATGCACTATCCTATTACCTGATTCCATACATGAAAATCAGTTCTTTAAAAGGGTCTAGAAACACATTTTCATATATGTAACCATTCTAATTTTGTCTTTAATTTCCCTGTCTTTACAGGTATTTGTCTCTGCCACCAACAATACAGTGGAGGTGAAAGAAAACATGTCTGTGGAGCTCACAGCATGGAAAAATTACACAGCAACATCCCTGTTACTTGGAATAAAAAAAACTGTTGTCGCCAAAAAGTAGTTCCAAAGAAAACTGCTCACAGTGAGGTCTGTGGATTATCTACAGTAATGAGCATGCTTTTTATTTCTGGAAAGACACATTGCTGTTAAAGTTTTTAAAAGGTAATTTTTCATGCTGTCAGCAAGACAAATTATACACTAGTCCCTATAACAATGTTACAGTTGGAGGCAGAAATATCAGAGAAGCTTGAACAAATAAAACCAAAAACTACAGCCAGATACCACTAGAGATAAGAGGAAAGTACGTTTTTTTAACTGATCCTTTTAAAAAAGAGGTATCGGGCAGCAGTCAATCTCCTTCAGTGTAAAATATAAGTAATCTATCATACTGCTTCCCTCAGTCCTTACAATGCTGCCCACTGACCGAAGCCACAGGACAGGGCATCAACATAACCTGCTAACCTCACAGACAAGAAAGCCTGGTGCAAGTGATTAACTTTTCCTGTGTGAGGGAAGAACCCTTTAAAGCCCCCCATGGTGAAAGCACAGGGTCTGACGGATGTGCACGGCCCATGTGTCTCACTTTTGGGAGTTTGCAGGAGGTGTCTGACACCATCAGTGGACATTAACGCCACACTGTGCAGCAGTGACCTTGAATTAATTAACAGTGAGCTGCTGCTGCTGCTGGGATCTTATTCCCAGAATACAAACATCTCCTGCATTGTTTTTTCCTCCAGCAAATGAGGTCACATCCAACTACTTTCGAAACTACTTCCGAAGCTTTTGTGTGACCCAATGTACCTTTAAGCCATAAACCTGTGTTTACAGTATACCAGTTTGTCTTTGTTGTTTAAACGTAACTGTGATAAATACTTCTTCACCAGCTTAAGATTTTCGGAAAATGTAATCACATTTATCAGCTTTTTCATTCGTAAGATTGTGTGGGAAGATTCAAAACACCAAATGTCATCAACCAAGTCATTAACATAATCATTACAACCAAGAATGAGCACAAAAGATTTTTCCCTTCAAGTCAAATTTTGTAGAAAAGTAAAAAGACAAAAATGTCCATAGTTGACTTGACAATAACAATTATTCCTTTTATTGTTAAACAAGTTGACATCATGAAAGCCACTTTTCTCAGTATTTCCCCAAGTCTATTTAGATACGACAGTGTCATTGTGTTGATGTTGATCGCTTCTTCTACTTTGTTGGCCCCGTTTCAAGCAGTCCACTGCTAACGTCCTGTTTCCTCCCGCTCCATTCGACTAGCTGCCGACCCAAGGATCCACTCGGTTTGTCCTCGAGATGAAGCCGATTTTTTTGGCCATTTCCATGTGGTAGATCCGCCTGCATCTCTCAAAGTTCAACCGCTGTCGCTCTCGGCAGGGCTTCTCGTAGTATCGCTTGCGCGTCACTGTATCAACAATCCCCTCATTAGTCAGTAACCTGGAGTATGTAGACAAAGTGTGTGAATAACTGGGACTTGGATTGCATTCAAGTCACTCTATACAGCAGGTAAATGGAAAGTACAGGTGAAACTGGCAGAGCAGCCCGTCTCAATTATGGATTCTTTTTAAATGATTTATACATTTAAACAATAAAAACATTTTACTGCTTTGGGTAATGAATCTAAAATGCAGCAAACTCCAGCCATGGATAGCCTAATATAACACCATAGGTTATATATAACAATGGAGAACGGAGAATCACACATCCAGACCATTTAAAAGTCATAATAAAAATATTAAAAATAATAACCTGAGAGCATAAAGCATTTCTTAACTATTATGCTTTAAGGACACCCTCTAAACACTTTACAATTCTTTCATTTATTTTTCATTGTAATCAAAATAATTTAGCAAATGAATCAAAATACGTTTTGTATTTAGACAATCACTGGATACAGTGCAAGTGCCATAATAATGCAGTAGGTCACTACTGCATTATTATGGCACTATTATGGCACTACGCTCCAAAGTGTTCAATATTCAACACATAAATAAATAAATAGATAATTATGAAGTAAACTAATTAATAAATTGTGGATAATATATAAATGAAAAAATAATATGTTTAATTATTCAAACTTGACTCTTTATTTTAAAATGTTCTTAGTTTTATATGACAATTTATACTTTTTTAGACATTTTTATTTCAAAATTCTCATTCTGAAAAGTCTGCTTTTATTTTATAACTACGTTTTTCCCCATTGACTGTATAAATAACCACTGGCTATATATATATAACCATTGACTGGTTTTTCACTTCATCCCAGGGGGCATGTGAGTCGCTGACAGGTGAGAGGACAGTAACACCACCGAAGAAGGGATGTTATGAAATAAAATGCGTCATTATGGTGACACGAAATAAAAACATTTTAAATTTTGAAATACAATGTCTATAATAAAATAAAAATGGTATCCAAATCTAGTTGTTATTATGAAATATAATAATAATAATAATAATAATAATAATAATAATTATGAGTTGAGTTTTTATTTCTTTAGTTATTTCACAAATGATTAATATAAGTATGTATTTAATTAATGTCAAATTGAACTTTTGGGGTTGTATTCTTTAAACCTCAGTTACAATGTAAGATTAATGTTATTCTCCGTTTGTTGAATGTTCCCTTAGATATATTTACAGTTTTTAGATTTTTTAAAACGCAATTAAGGCACACATTATCTATAATAATAATTATTATTATTATCTTACTGAAACAACAGCCCAAACTACTGATTTAACGTTACAGACTTATATAACTTATTTAACTACAGTTACTACGCCGCGACGAAATGTTGTAACTGTCAGTAATAGTGATTATTTCACCTCAGAATTTAAACCTTTTTTTTAATCTAATGTTTACGTTATTCTATCTACAAATAAATGTAACGTTATCTAACAAAAAAACATAAAAACACACAACAAACAACAAACAACAACAAACAACAAACAACAACAACATTAGCTATCCTGCTGTAAGAAGTGACACTACTGCGCAGGCGCAGCTCTGTGACATTGAGCGGAAGGCTAACTGTTGAACTGAGCTAACGTTAGCTTAGCATTCGCCGCGTAACAACAAATGTCACCTTCAATTGTTTATTAAAAACACGAGATTGACCTGTTCAAAGTCTTGTACGCCGCCTCAACGTCGCCGTTTTGAACCATCACTGTCCGCGCAATGAAGCGGAGGTGCCTCGACATGTTGAGACCGGTTGTTCCCTCTTAACACCGATCGGGTGGAAACACCAAGGTGCAAAAGGTTCCGGATACTAGAAGCATCATAAATCAACGCTAGGTGACGCTTTACTCAACCGTTCTCGTTAAGGGCTTTTTCCATTTGTTTTTGTTGTGTTTATATTAATACAACTGAAAAGATGTGGTGATCTTTGCAACTCAAACATAAACATGTTTGTCATCTTAGCACAAAAGTTAATCTTTCTCAAAAACTCACTAAAACTGTACATTCAAACCAAGACTCTTAACACAAGTAAAGTTTATTACATAATCCTCTGAACGGCTGAACCTTCTTGTCTTGTTTTATTTGTTTGTTTGTATTTTGCTTTGTTCCTGTGTGTTATTGATATATCTTATCAAATATCCCAGCTTTTATTTTGTTAAATACCCGGTGGACATGAAATAAATGACACACTCCAAACATCTCTACAGCACAGGGAGCCAACGAGCAATTCTTGTAGTTTATAAACAGGGAGATAATTTTCAGGCCAATCGCAGATTTATGAAACCACATCGGTTGTCATAGGAACAGGGTAGAGCAGTGTCCAGTGTTATCCTTTCATCAAGGCCATTCTCCTCTTCTTCTTCTCATCCCTGAGCTGCTGTTGTCCTCTGCGTGTCTCAGTCTGAGGTCAGCCAGCGGTGAATGCTGGCCTGGATGCTATGTCCAATTTGCATTCAAAAGTGCTTTTATATTTCCTTTCTCTGTACAAAATACCTGATGAGGTTAATTCCCATGTTGCTGTAACCCTATAGAGTGCCGTAGCTGCATGGTGCCACAGGGAGAAATGCTGAGACAATCTGCACAGATAACATCATGACTCCTTTTGTTGGGTGAATGCACTGCATCATGTTTCCAGAGGCATCCCTTCTGATCCAGACCTGATGAAATATTCTTGGCAGTACGTGTGTGTGCATGTGTGTGCGTGTGTGAGCAGAGTGGGAGAAATAAAGAACAGACAGAGAGTGTATAACTTAACTTAAATTAAGTTTGCTCTGAGAGTTTTGTTTCACTCGGGGTGCTTTTATCAAATCAAATCTCCCTGACAGTACTTGAGGGCATTAAAAAATGGATTCATTTATTCTCACTTTCTTTACTTTAAAGGTCCAGTGTGTAACATTTAGGATGATCTATTGGTAGAAAGGGAATATAATAGTACATTATGTTTTCATTAGTGTATAATCACCTAAAAATAAGAACTGTTACCTATATGAGCCATTTTATGTACAGGGAGAGCAGCTCCTCTTCCTCTGAGAACAAACAAACCAAACACTGGCTCGCCACCGTATAGTTTCTCCTACATGCTTGGAAGGGAAGGGTGAGGCGAATCTTTAATTATTGATTTTCACATTTTAATCCTATATCATCCCCTAAATTTCCACTCTGCTTTTCAGGAAATACCAGTTAGAACAATTTGAACTAGAAACTGTATATTTAAATTTGAGGGAAATGGAGGGAGGGTTTTGAATCAGCCAATTGGTAATTTTCATCCAATTTGACTACAATCTAATTCAGCTTGACTTTGTATAGTAACACAGCACAAAAAAACTACATCTTACATGTGAATCAATCCCTGAATTTGTACTTAAGTTATTGGTTCTGTAGTATAAAATTAATCTGTCATATAAATAAACACATAAATATTGATTCAATCAGAATTTAAGGATTTTAGCCGAATGTATCCTTGTATATAGTCTTACACTGACGCTGTTTACCTCAAAGAGGCACTAAACAGTGTCTTATGTCTGGGTTTGTTTACCAAAATAAACATGGAGCCCTAAAGACATGTAATGTAACCTGCCACCACCCAGTCCAGATAAAGACAGGGTGAGATGGCAGCATGAGTCAGCGCTAAATGGCCCTCACACAGCCTACAGTGTGTATGTGCAGTTTGAGCATAATGAATACATTGATGTGTCTCCACTCTCAGACATTTTAATTGTTCTGTGAAAATGTTGGTGGCACTTTCCTGCCTCCAGCTGCATGTCTTATCTTTTGCCCCTATCATTACCCCCCCTCTCTCATTCACTCTGGAGCTGAACACATTAATCCTGATATCTGATTTCACATTCCACGTCTTACAATTTAACACATCGCTTCAGGTCGGATTGGATCACCCTTTCAACCCTTGCAGAAATAGGTATAATCACTGTTCTGGACTTCTTGACAAATAACTGGGACTAACATGACACCAACTTTTAAAAAAAACAAAAAACAATTAACTGGCTGCTCATCAACATCAAAGCACTTACTGGAAGTGCATTTTCCAGCTCGTATCCAAATCTTTCACCATGCTGACAGAGGTGGTGGGTACAGTTAGAATCAGGGGGGAAAGTCCCTCCCTGCCACCGGCCTCTGTATTGGCTGAACCAGCATTACATCCAGGCGAGCTGTCAGCCAATCAATGGAGGCGCAGATACAGGCAGAGGAGAGGACTTCGCAAACCGGTTAACGGAGAGGGACAGACTCGAACCGGAGAGCTTGCTGCAGTCTCACTCGGCTTTCTGATCAGCAAAATCATCATCACAATGGAGCAGAAAACCACAGATTTCTCAGGAAAATGGAAAATGAAGTCTTCGGAAAATTTCGAGGAACTTTTGAAAGCGCTGGGTGAGTGAGCATAGATTCATATTGTATTTAATTGGCTTACAGAAAATGCCCAATAAAGGTGTTTATCTGTCCCTAAAAAGTTTTCCAACACGAGATTGTGGGTTGCATCCCGTTGTTGGCGGAAACCTTTAGATCAAAGTGCTTTACATGCAAAAAACTATTCAAACTGTGATGCCAGTTGAGAGTTAAGCCGCATATTGTTATCTGGTTTATCATCAACCATTCAGCTCCATTGTCAAAATGCAAAAAAGGAAAAGGGAAAGGGAAGCATCTCCTGCACAAAGACCTGTCAATCACGTTGTCAGTGGCATTATCAACTGGAAATCCACTTGGCTCAGAGGTCAACTGGAGAACCAAAGTGGTTTGAAGTGGGTTCTCTGTGGTTAAATTGGTTTGCCCCTGCCCTGCTGCCCTTATGTTCCTGGGAATACTGGTCTTGTTAAGCTATGAGGCTGTATGGACTCCGGTTATAAGACAGAACAGGAGAGAGAAGGAGGTCAGGCGAGGGCCAGCCAGTGGCATCCATTAAAAATCTGAAGACAAATAGCCTGTGGAGGAATGTTAGATTAGACTCATCTGAAGCGGGGTCCTCCTCATGCGGTTGTAATTAGAGCCAGTGTAAACGGAACTAAGCCTTGACATGGGCCCCAGCAGCTAGCCGGCTCTGAGACTGACTTTCCTTCACTTCCCTGGGCCTCTCTGACCCAATCTACGGCTGTGTGTGTGTGTGTGTGTGTGTTGCCTCTGTACCACTGCATGAGCAAATATGGTCCGAACTAAATCAGATCTGAGTCAGTCCAGCTCATGTGAATAATGGCAAAAACTAAAGGGTCAACATGCAGTTTTACATTCATTAAACATCACATCACATCGCTACGCACTCAGCACACAGATGTTTATATAAGCTATTTATTCTTTCAGCCTAGTTGTTCATGGCACATCAGTAACTACGCCGGTTATACATATCTCCTGAAAATCCTGTTGTATTTCCACTTGCTGCATAAATTCATGGATTAGTTGTAGAATGGGCCTACCAGGCACAGGCCTATGGGCCCATAGGGGACAGGGGGCCTCTATTTGAAGTTACTGTGAACATTTCTTGTTAGAAAGTCAATCAAATTACTACAGAGACACAAATCAACCCATAAAGAGATGAATATAAAGATGACTATAAAACAACTAAAAGGAGACGTGAAACAAGCACAGAGAGACACAAAATGGCCACAAAGAGATGCAAAATGCAAAACAGATATCAAGAAACATAAAGACACACAGAACACAAAACAATCATAAAGGAAACGACAACAAAGAGACACAATGTGGCTATTAAGAAACGCAAAACAACCACAAAGAGCATACCTTACATTAAGTTCTTAGATTAATTTCCGTGATTCATTCAATACAGAAGAAGACATCAGCGTGCAGAGACTTGAAACTAAGAAATTAATTACAATGAACAATTCATTGTCTTATTTTTTTTCATCGAAGTTATGTTGTAACTGTGTGGCATTGCAGCAGCACATACTGTTTTGAAAACTTTCAGGCTGCCAAAAGGCATTGTGAGAAGAAGGGCATGAATTGTTAGTTGTTACTCACCTGTTATAAAATCTGCTGAATGACTGCCGACTCTCAAATATCAGATGACATAGTTTCACTGAATGCCAACCATGGAAACATTTCCCAAACATTCCCCGCTGGCAGCTGAATTACCACAAAGTGATAATGTAACACTGTCAAAAAACGAAAGGTGCTGAAAGTTTCGGTAAAAAAATAAAAACATATAATATGGTCTGTATATCATATTAGTTTCTGTCTGTGTGTGAACAGGTGTGAATGTGTTCCTGAGGAAGATTGCAGTGACAGCGGCCTCCAGCCCGGCAGTGGAAATCACCCAGCAGGGAGAGTGCCTGTCCATCAAGACCTCCACCAGTGTCCGTACTACCCATGTCTCCTTCACTGTGGGTCAGTCCTTCAGTGAGGCCACAGTGGATGGACGTCCCTGCACGGTACACATCCCGTAACTTCCCATGTAGCATTCCTGTATAATGTACTAATACTTGCATACCAGCATTTGGCCAAAGACAGCATAGCTAGCCTAGAGCTCTGCACAGAAGAAACATATGGAAATAATTTCACTCCAGAGTCAGTCCTGGTGATAATACATGGATCTGTTCTTCATTTCTTCATGCTCAGTAAGTGGTGATGGACATAGTTCCTGACAAGCCGTAAAAATCTTCTGACATGCAGTGATCGGCACAGAGTTCCAGTTATGATCAAACCCAAACTTTGCTATAACTTCACAGCGTCCAAATGTAATTTATTAAAGGCACGTATGGACTGGAAACATTTATACAAATAATCTGTTTGGAAAAATATAATGTCCACATTTAAATCCTTAAAAAGGCATCTACTCCTTCTACCTCGTTAAAAATCCCAGGACCTGTGAATATGCAAATTTAGTTAATTTCTGAAGTTTGTCCTTCCACAAGATGTCTCCTACTCGACTGTAAAGTCCATTATCAACATATGTGCAGTGGTGGCTTCAGTTCCTACATCACACTTGTATGAGTTGCATACTAGACCAAAGTTGACTTCCAAGCCCTTAAGATCAGATTTTCAATGAGTGCAGAGAAACTTTCCACATTCAGCAGATTAATGTAAAACCATCTCCCTAGTGTCAAACTCTGCGCATACATCATTCTGAAGCTCAAACATCCAACTGTAGGAACAAGAAGAAAAAAACATATTTTTGAGGAGGAGGATTTTAATATTGTTCTGTGAATCCTTGCAGAGTTTTCCGAAGTGGGAAACGGACAGCAAGATCAGCTGTGAACAGACTTTACAGAAAGGCGATGGACCCAAGACAGCATGGACCCGAGAGCTGACCAACGATGGAGAACTGATACTGGTAATTATTTTGTGTACAGCCCAAATGCACAACTTTATAAAGAGAGTATTAGACACTTAAACTAAGGTGACTGTCTTAGGAAAAGTTAGTAGGATTCATCTTCTGGGCAAACTTTATGGCAATCCATCTAATAATAGTTATAACTTATAAACCCTTTCTGTCCTTCTGTTGCTGTTTTCTTCCAGACAATGACTGCTGGGGATGTTGTCTGCACCAGAGTTTATGAGAGGGAGTGAAGACTGTCATAAAATCCTCATGTTTTGTGCCTCATGCATGGTTTACATTTACTCGCCTTGTTTTCTTCTTCTTCGTCCTCCTCCCAGCCAGTCAGTCAGATCTTACTCAAACAGTGCACTGTGTAGAAAAGGCTCACGTGTTGTAACAGTACTGTAGTTGCTTTTAAAACACCAAACTGAACTTAGCCTGCATGTATCATATTAGAAATGTCACACATTCCTTTTTTTAACACTGTATTGCAGTGTCTACATCCTTTTTCAAGATGTTAATAAACTGTTTTATATGAATTTACTGTTTGATGGTTCCTTCTCCAACCCTCATCCTGTATGTTGCCTCCTCCCTACCCCTCCCATTCCCTTGTCGTCCATCTGCATATCACTTTACATCACTGTCTGCCATTCAAACTCTCCTCATTATTCCACACCCTTCCCCCCCGCCCCTCCTCCTCCATCTTTCCATTTGCAATCCAGTACCTTGTCCTCTGCATGCTCTCTGTCATCATAGCTCACTGCAATATGTAGTCAGTTACTTCAAAAACACCCAAAGACAATTCACATTTTCTAAACTCCACTTTGACAGACCTTTGGCAAAGACGGGATGGAAACTGGGAGTGGAAAGGAAACCGAGTGAGTGAAAGAGAGAGGGTGGTCATGAGAAAATTATTTCATGGCATCAGGAGAGGTTATTTTTTATACGATATGCGCCCCTTCCCAGCTGTACCGACTTACAGAATGAGCTCAATAAAAAGTCCCCCACCCTTGTTGCTCTGGCTTTGCACCCAGGTACAAAGTGTTTAGTGGCTTCCTCTTAGACTGTGCAGGGAGATTTCCAGCTGTTCCCTTTCAAAACCAACTTTTCAACATAGTGGATGCAAACAAACAGACTTAAAATGTGAAGGGAAAGCCCCATTAGATGAAAATGATAGATTTAACAGCGTTCAGAGTCCCTAAAGTCTGTCTTTGACTCAACTGCATGCTTCAGTCTGAGGCTTCAGACCTTCACCTTGCTGTGAAAAATGGACCTTCGGGGTCTCTCAGGCACTTCCTGAGGAGAGTACTGCTACGGTTCACAAGCTGTGATGGTTTTTCCAGCTTTTCAAACAGTGTGCAGACAAGCGCCCCTCTGAAGTGCTTCCCAGTTTATACACACAGTGCTGAACAAGCAGAGGGAGCACTGGGCCTCCTCCAGGATAAATGTTCTCAATGACCTCTGTGGGTAAATGTGTGTGTTTGCATCGGCAGTGGAGGAAGTACTCAAGTAAAAGCAGCAATAGCACAATATGAAATTGTTATACTGTATATTTAATTTGAATTAAAATTTGTTTGTTAACACTAGTGCGTGATGCATAAGCAGCATGGTGGAGCTAGTTTTAACTACTTTACATAAAGTAGAGTAATTTAGTCCAGTGGTTACCAACCTAGGAGTCACAAAGGATCACATGATCTGATGGGTTGTGAGATAATTAATGGGGCAGGAAATAAGAAAAAAATACTTCTGCCACTTATATTGATTGAATATTTTGGACCTTTCTCTAATATTTACTGTTTTGTGCAATAATGGATCATTTGAGATGATAAAAATCTCCCTTGGTGGAACTGCAAGCAACTCATAGACATCTAAATCAAGCAAGTAGATGCTGCTTTTTTGTGAGGGGTCACAAGCAAAAAAGATAAGAAATCACTGCTATTTATATACTCATCATATTTATTTTATTTAAAATCTTAAAGTAACTGGTAACAAGGCTGTCAAAGGCTGTATAAATCTAGTGCAGTAAAAGTGTATATTTGCCTCTAGAAGTATAAAGTAGCAGAAAATGGAAATAGTGTAGAAGTAATAGAAGTAGAAGTACCTAAAATTTGTACTTAAGTACAGTATTTGGTAGATGTACTAAGTTACATTCTACAATTAATCTGCATACAGTTTGTGTCTGTGTGAAGAAAAGAAGAATGAAAATATAATTTGTGACCAAGTATGCATGGCTTACACAACGTCTCTCATTATTTACGTGGCTTTAGGTCTCACAGACAGAAAGTATGTTTTGAATGGCCTCAGTGAAACCCATGTTATTGTGTAAGCGCTCATCAAAACCACAGCACTTTAACTGCACTCTGGGGGGGGATGGAAAGTTCCCCCCTTTTTGCTCAATAAAAAAATTGGCATTACACACACACACACACACAAACTGGATGCCTGATTCTGTCTAAAAGACCCCCTTTGACTTATGGTTGTTAGCCTTGTAGGAGCAGTCTAAACCATCCAGTCCCTCCTTGTGAGCCGGGTCACTTTCCACACACAACTGTTATGCCAGTTCATTCCTCAGGCAGTGATGTCATGGAGCATTGCATTGCTGGATTGGCTGAAGGAATGCTGTGGTTTTAGGACCGGGAAGCACCCAAGTCCAGGCTTTGAATCGAGGCCATCTGGACCAATCGTGACTGGGCAATTAGTGGAAATGATGAGTCACAGGAGTCAGCTTACAAACACAGATGCTAAAGAATGGCGTGAAGACAAACAAAGCGAAAAACCTGTGAGCAGGTTCAGGCCGACAACACAAGTTAAACAATTGGAACAGTTAAAGAAACTTCCATCAGTACTTTTGTAGTCTATTTAGGCCACATCCTTTTCCGCCCCAGCATCTACATGTGAGCTCTGTTTCTTAATGGTTCTCCATAAAAAATTAAATTCATCTCAGTGGTTTCATATTGTGTAATTTATAGATCCACAGTAATATGAACCTTTGGAGTCTTAACTCCTAAACAGGAGATACACTCCAATACCAATAAGGCCTGTATTATGGACATAAACTAAGGCCTTTTTCTTTTCACCATCGATTAAAATCTGCTGATTATTTTCTAAATGAATGTATCGTTTTGTTTCTATAATGGGGATTTCTTCAAACTGCTTGTTTTGTCGTGAAGACATTTTCAAGCTGCCCAATTTTTAATTATTATCTTATCAGTGGTTTTCACCCTTTTATTTTATGACTTGTGACCTAATAAAAAAACCTCTGTCACCTTTGAACCTCTTGTCACAAGTTGCATGTGGAGCTCTGAGCAGTTTTTCGTTTTTAAATAGTTTCAGAGGCATGAAACAGTAAAAAGTTTAGAAATATTAAGCTAATTTTATGTAGCACAAACATGTTTTTTTCTTCTTATTCTGTACAGTCAGACATTGTTTAAACCCACAGAGAACTATTTTAAATTCTAGATAAGAAACCAAATTTCAGAGAAATACTGAACATGTCTCAAAATGTAGGATAAATTTGTTTAAAATGAACATTTCCATTAGATTATGGTGCAGCCATAAAAACATGAAGCTCTGGGCTTGAATAAAGAACATATATGTGAAATAATTTGTCCAAAGGTAAAGCTACTTAAAGGGTGAATTAAATAACACTGATGCTAAGCTGTTATCATGTGATTACTTAAAGGGTTTCCTGACTCTACTACCACTAATAAACACCCAAACCCAATCTACACATAGGTTATTGTTCATTTATGTGTCTATTTGTGCATAAATAGACTGGTCACATGTGTGAAGACCTATCCAGTAACATGGAATGTACAGTATGAACCAGGCTGTATGTGTGTACTGTACGTTTGTGTGTGTGCGTGAACAGAACAGCCTATGTGTTTATAATGAAATCATATGACTGCCCTCACCCATGTGACCCCATGTGACTTGTAGGAGTAGAGGATGAAAAGAGGCCAGGCTACAATGTACGAGGGCATTAAGCCATGAAGCGTGTGTAAACTAAAGGTGTAATCATTCCTGCTCAGTCTGTGAATGCAGGCTCGAGAAGTACAAAGAAAAAACCTTTCAGCAATCGACCTTCATACAGCTAGCACCTTATCACTGTGTGCCACAATATTCACTCACATCTAATAGCTCTTGTGAATAAAGCAACAAGTTACATAAAGTAACATATTTGGAACAACAATAATTTAATTTTAGGATTATTTTTGAATGCATGTTGTATGTGTATCTAATGTAATTAAAATATGATAAAAACTAATAAATGTTTATTTTCTTGTTACCTGAGTTGCTGCACCTACCTGAGGTCTAAGTCCCTCATTCCTCCTGAGAATCACATTAGTCAGCTGAAAGACCAGAGAGGTTGGGGGGCAAATTATTCCTTCAAGGTGCAAGGGTGACATCTACTGGAAGAGGAGCATAACATTAAAAAGAAAGGCTACATAAACACCAGGAAAAGACTGAGATAAAACAGACATACTGTATGTTTACAGCAAAAGTGTAGCTTGGTTTAAAAAGGAAAACTCACTAAAGGAATAATGATGTCTACCTGGATTAACCTCAACGGTCTGGGCCTAATCAAAACCTGTTTTGGCTAAATTTGCATCCAGACGTCAGATTGGCTGAGATACAGAGGACAGTTAAATGCCTGATAAAGACACACCTGACAAGTAATCCTTTACAAAACACATGTTCCTTTCTTTAACCGTACAGAATTAGCTAATGGTTACCAATTTACCGAGCATCTTTTAGCCAGAATTACATTTCCAATTAAAAATACAAATAACGTAACAACCTATTATCCTGAATTTTCCTGAATTTTGTAACAACCCCATTATAATAATAACCCTAGTACTATTGTACAACAGGTGTCATTCCCAAAGGTGTGTTAATACTGAGCCACATGTTTTTCATTGTACTTTGCCTTTAAATTACACCATAGTAGGCTAGGTATGTCTTTTGTTTTATGTCATCCCATAAACTGGAACAGTAGAATCACTTCCCACTTTCAGAGAGACATTGTACCATTTCAGTCCATTACTGTGGAAAGTGGAAACATTTTTAGACCTTGACCTTAATGTTACAAATAAACTTAGAGTTGTCTGTTTCAAAGTACGCCATCAATGC